ATATTGTTCTATTGTTGTAATATTATGCAGTTTAGTGTCAATAATTGTATTGGCAATGTGGCCTCTTTCTGCACACATACAAACCAACCCCTGCCACCCCTTTCTGCCACAGCTCCATTGGTCTAATGYTCTATGTCATGGACTTCCATGTGGGAGATCAGGGTTCAAAACCCAGCTAATGCAACTTTAACCAAAAATCTCTTCTAACTTCTTATTGTCTCTCAATTACGTTAATTCTGAATACCTGCTGACGTGACAGGCACAAGCTGGTTTAGAAAACACATTTGAACTTGGTCACAGTTCATTCTGCAGGTAAAGCCATGCTGCAATGACATACTACATGGCAATGCACACTTGTTTTTACATTGTAAAAACCCATGTCTAGTTGCTGTTGTTCGCTCCTGCAGACCCTCCATCCTGAGGCCTGGATGAGAGAACGAACTGTGTTGTTGAGCACAAACAGTCAGAAAACTGAAGCGTTGTGATGTAAACTGGACCTATAAACACACACAGCTGACCACACACTGTGTGTCTGGCGACGTGCTGTCCAGTGGACCTCTACATGCACTTTCACAAGATGTTTGTAGTGAAAAGGCCTCGCAGGCGACAGGAAACCAGACTTCTAAATGCAGCTTTGCTTCAGCAGCAGGCTTTCTGACACAATGCAGAGGAAGCTGTGCATCATGGCGCTGCAGCTCCGAGGCTGCTTCCTCACCTGCTGTCTCTGTGTTTCCTCTGAAGACTTTCAGACGYGGAGGAAACGTTCAGCTTCTCTCTGAGGACATATTCATAATACATTAAGAGCTCACAGGGTGTCCAATCCTCATAGCTAAAATTAAGACCTTAAAAAGGTGTACACTTGTTAGAAAATGGTCTTAAATTATACGTTACTTAAAGGTCTTACATTAAAGTTCTCCATCTCCCCTGCTGGTCTGTGCTGTCATTTTCAAATATCACTTCTTCAAGTTATATATATATTATATAATATCAGAGTATAAGTTCATAGATGTATAAAAGTTCAAATCAGTAGTTAAACCTTCAGACATGTGTTGGTAGTGATGCTACAGGTGACAGTTAGCTGCATCACTTGTTTATATCAAGGTAAAACTGGAGGTTCAAACACAAATAATACATGTCTTTTTGTTAACGTTTCCAACCAAATAACTACACTTATACAGTACAGCTCATTTAACCACAGACATGAATATGTTTAGATTTAATGGGCCTCATGCAAGAACATGTTCGTATTCTTCTCCTAAATTTCTCTTACTTTTGTTC